CACAAGACTTCCAATGAGATATCAGAGGGCTTGGAATATAATATTCTGGAGGTCAAAGGAGATATGATTACAGCCAAGAATCTCCCACCCAGCAAAACTGAGTATAATCCTTCAGGGGAAAAAATAGACATTCAATGAAATAGAGGACTTTGAAGCATTCTTGATGAAAAGACCAGAGCTGAATTGAAAATTTGACTTTGAAGTACAAGACTCAAGAGAAGCATGAAGAGGCAAACAGGAAAGAGAAGTCATAAAGGACTTATTAAGGTTGAACTGTTTACATTCCTGCATGGAAAGATGATATTTGTAACTCACGAGACCTTTCTCAGTATTAGAGTAGTTGGAGGGAATGTGTGTGTGTGTGTGTGTGTGTGTGTGTGTGTGTGTATTATATGTGGAGAGAGAGAGAGAGCACAGGGTGAGTTGAATATGAAGGGATGATATCTAAAAAAGAAAATTAAGGGATGAGAGAGGATTATATCTGGGAGAAGGTGAAAGGGAGAGGTAGAATGGGGTAAATTATCTCACGTAAAAGAGGTAAGAAAAAGCTTTTATGGTGGAGGAGGAAAGGAGGGAGGTTTGAAGGAATGAGTGAGTCTTACTCTCATCAGATTTGGCTTAAGGAGGGGATAACACACACACTCAATAGGGTATGGAAGTCTGCCTTGCCCTACAGGAAAATAGGGGGGAAGGAGATAAGAGAGGGGGGATAATAGAAGGGAAGGCAGATTGGGGGAGGGGGTAATCAGAAACAAACATTTTTGAGGAGAGAGGGTCAAAGGAGAGGATAGAATAAATGGAGGGTGGGATAGGATGGAGGGAAATATAGTCTTTCACAACATGAGTATTGTAGAAGTGTTTTGCATGACTACACATGTATAACCTATATCAAATTGCTTGCCTTCTCAGTGAGGGTGGATGGGGAGGGAAGGAGAGAATTTGCAACTCAATTTGCAATTTGTTTTAAAAACGAATGTTAAAAATTATTTTTACATGCAACTGGGAAATAAGATATACAGGCAGTGGGATATAGAAACTGATCGTGCCCTGCAGGAAAATAGAAAGGGAAGGGATGGGGGTGTGTGTGATAGAAGGGAGAACAGATTGGGGGAAGGGATATTCAAATAGAATGCACGCTGGTGGGGTGGGGGTGGGGGAAAGATGGGGAGAAAATTTGGAATCCAAAATCTTGTGGAAGTGAATGTTGAAAACTAAAAATAAATAAATTAATTAATAGAAAAATAAATAAAGTGGCAAAGAATAGGAAAAAAATATGATTCTGGAGTATGATAAACTGCTGACAAGAAGTGTACTACATCTTATTAACTAAATGTTGAAACTTGTACCGCTTAGCAAAGTAAGTTTTTTAACAATGTGATTTCATGATAAATAATCTTAAGTAATAGGTATAATTAATATTAATTGAAATTTCACCTTTTTGTAATATGGTTTATTTGCAAAATAGTTTAATCATTCATTATACCTTTACTTGGAAAGTGAGCAGCTAAAACCCTTGCTGCAGCCTGAGGAAGTTTAGCCTGTTTTAATTTTGGCCCCTACGTACTCTGGTTTAGAGAGATTCTGTCGTGTAATTTCCTCATTTACAGATGAGGAAAACTGAGACCTGAGAAGTATTTTGGCTTAGGTCACCTGGGAAGTAATAAAGTAGCAGAGTTGGAACTGAAATCTAAGCTTTTTGGTCGTAGATCCAATGTTCTTTCTACTATACCACCATTTTGCTTTTTTTGTGTTTTGTGCAAATTAATAAACCTTCATTCCTGTTTTGAACTTGTAGAAGAATAGCTTGTATATCACAAATGTATTTATGCTAAAAATTACACGATTTTTGTTAATGTTCATCTTATGGAAAATCTTTGTGATGTAGAGACAACCAGAGGCATATGAAGAAAAATAAAGGGATACTTGATTACTCAGTATTTCTTCTTGTTTCTTTAACTTTAGATTTTTTTCTTCTTGGAGTGAATAAATTGGCAATTAAAAATGCCCGCTTTCCCTGGCTTTTATGAGAACAGATTTTATATTTGTATCCCATATCACAGGCTTATTGTCAAGATCAAATGGAATTAAGTATATACTGTTTTTTGCAAACCCTAATGGGAAAGTATCATTGTTATCCTCAGTGCTACCCAATATAATACTTTGCAAAAGGAAGGTGTTTAATAAATGTTTGTTGAAGGAAAGAATGAATATGAGAGGATATGCTTTGAGACTTTTAACTGGCATTTTAAAGTTTGTACTACAGCATTGCATTATTCAGTTAGTCAGCCTTTGTTAGGGCTTTATAATGTGTAGCTTTCAGAAGTTTTTAAAGTAATACGTGAGTACCATTTAGCCAAAATAAACAAATAAATCTATTTCCCAGTTACCTTGTCAACAACAATGATAAAAAAATTTCCTTAGTGCAGGAGGATCCTTCCCACTTCCCCTCGGCTCATTTTGTTTTGCCCCTCTCTCATTTCTTCTTTGCCTAGGTATCCCGGTTTCTGGGCAGCATGTGTTTAGAGGAGGAGGAGGAGGTGCTGAGATTAACAGCCTTGAGTAACATTAACTTTTTTTGCCTGCCATATTGAACTTTTGATTCACATTGAGCTTGTATTCCCTCAGGACCTTTTCAGACAAATTGTCATATAGCCTATTTTCTGTGAATTTGATTTTTTGAACCCAAGGGAAAGAATTTATTATATTTCATCCTATTTTTTGGTTATTTCTTTTAATTCTGAACTTAAGAAACAGCAAATAAAGTGGGCATTTCCGTATTTCATAGACGAAAATGAAAAAGAAGATTGCACGTGAAACTATAGATGTCTTTAGAGCTGTACTATTGACTGGCCTATATCTCAGCATCTTTTCTACAGCTTATTATAAGTTCAAACTGTAACTTTCAAGCTGTCTTTTTTTTTTAAACTTCTTTCTGGCCTTCTTAACCATTTTCGTCTCTGCCTTTTAAAAAAGAATGTGCCAGTTTTCTTTTTGTTAAACAGTTCCTGTGTCCCTTGCTTACTCCACAAATTAAAAAAAAAAAAATCAACACCGAAAATAAAAACAAAATCCTTGAATCAAATCATCGTGGTTGAGCAAAACAGATCTCCACATTGGCTGTGTTAAAAATGTTTACCTTATTCTACTTCTTCAGTCTTGTCTTTTCTTTTTCAAGAAGTAGGTAGCATGCTTCATCTTTAGTTCTCTGAAATTATTGTTGGCCATTGCATTGAGTAGAGTTCTCAAGTCTTTCAAGATTGTTTTTTATTTTAATGCTGTTACTGTATAAATTGTTCTCTTGGTTTTGCTCACTTCATCCTCATCAGTTTGTACTGATCTTCCAAGGGTTCCATGGAACCATTAATTTCATCATCTCTTATGGAGCAGTACACCATGATTTATGAAACCATTTCCCTTTGTTTGTGATTCTTTGCTATTACAAACAGACCTTCTACAAATATTTTTTCTACAAATGGATCCTTGTCCTGTTTGCTGTTTTTCAAGCATAGACCTTGTAATTTTGTTAGATTTGGTCCAATGTTTTAGCTTGTTGAGATACTACCTGTGGGATTGAGTGTGATAGTTGTTCTTTCCAGCTCTATGACATCTAATAACTCGATAAATGTACCATCTTTGTTTTTATCCAGATGGCATAGTGTTATTGACAGACCATCCAGGGGGGACTCTATCCGAGACTTTTCTCTAGTTGCTGATTGACATTGAACTGTTAATGTACTATTTTGGGGGGTTGGTCATTCAGCCGGTTTTAAATTTATCTATATTATTGTCTGGTCCAAATCTCAGCATCTTGTCTACAATAATGCTTCTCAAAATTTAATTAAACTGAGTTGCTTATTGTCCCTCTGATTTATCAGACTAGTAATCCTGTCAAGAAAGACAGTTAGATTAGTCTGGTCTATTAAGCCATAAGAATCCTTGTGATTATTTCTTTTTCTAGATTTTTACATACTGTTCTTTAAATAATATATCCTAGAATGTTACAAGGGATTGAAACCAGCTTTGCTAGTTCACAGTTTGGGAAAAAGAAGGACAGGCACTGGACTTGTGATTCCATTGCTACAGAGAACTTCCATATGAATGAAATCCTTCTCCCTATGTAGGTCAATACTGTCTCTCCAACTTAGAGCCTTGAAGAAAGGGGAAAAAAAAACTGCAGATTTTTGTGGTGTAGAAGCTCTCAGCTTCTGAATAAAGTCTAATTACTTTAACCTGTGTTCAATAATTTTGACAATATATCTCAGCTCTAACCTGATTTTTCCCATTTTGTATCCTACTGTATCTCTATAGCTACTCTGTTATAGCCATGTTGGTCCACCCATTCTTCCCCAGTGTCTCACGTTTCGTTCCCTCTCTGTCTTTTGTTCATACCATTCCACATTCATGAGGGGTCTTCAAACCATTCTCTTTTCTCCCCATATCTCCAGTTATTGAAGTCCTACCCATCCCCAAGACCTTACTCATGCCACACCATAAAACTTTCTGTGATATAATGTCTGCTTATAGCAGTCACTCTCTTTTCATAACTCATACCACATATTGTCCCTATGACTAATTTGACAATCATGTGTTGATTTGTGATATGTTTTGAACTTTTGTGTTGTTGTTATTATCTTGTTTAATTTTTCAGTGTTTATGCATTGGGTCTCAGTCAGCTGTTTGAGGGCAGGGACCATGTCTTGTACATCTTTGTATCCACCATTGTATCTGACATGCAATACTCAAATATTTGTTGATTTGATTTTGAGGAAAAAAGTAAAGAATTTGAATCAATCCTTGATTCTTTTGGGTTAAGCCCTTATGTTTTTACTTTTGTGTATATATCAGTGAAATGTTGATGTCCAAAGAAAAGGGCTTATGTGAAGACTGAAGTTCTTCTGGGGGAAGCTGATTTAAAGTTTTATGGATCATCAGTTGTTCAATTTTAAATACTCTTACTAATGGACAGTAAATTACAATACTATTGTACATTTCTCTTTTAGAGGGGCAGCTGAGGCACATTACAACAGGGGAGCCATTTGTATTTAATGCCCGTGAAGATTTGCACCGATGGAACCAAAAGCGCTATGAGGCTCTTGGAGAGGTATCTCTATCAAAGTGTTTTAATACTGAAAAATAACCTTTTTAGGCTTTATTTTTCTAATTGCAAGTTTACACTGAATAAAGTTATGAGAGCCAATAAATTGTTCATACTCCATTTTTGTCCAAAAGTGATTTTTAAGTGCTTTAGAGCTTTACATTGTTATGTTAATGCATGAGAATTACATTTATTATTTAAAATATCATTCTGAACATGATGTAAAATAATTTTTTCTATGACCATTACATTTCCTGAGGCAGAAACATTGAAGCCATATTTAAAGAAGTTATATTTTGTTTTCAAAAGGTTGGATTCTGTATAGAGCAGGAGTAATTATCAACCTCTCCTGCCCTCCCCTTGAATGCTTCCCTCATAAGACAGATTGGTACAGTCAGTTATAGTGGCTCTGCTTGCCTTGGCTCACAGTAGGATTAAAAGCCTTGTAAGTAAGAGGATACTGATACAGATAGCCACATGCTCCCATAAATACTGTTTAGGATCCTAGAAAAGATAACTTATTTCATGAAGGTGTTTGTTTTGTTAAAACCAAGTTGTCTATTCTCAGACATTTGTTTTATTTTATTTTTTTTGTAAATTTTTTTTGTTTATTTTAAACTTAAATAGAAAATGAGAAAAGAAAAAAAACATTGCCATATATACAGCAGAATATTAAGAATTCAATATAAAACAGTGAATTTCCCTTTCAAGAAAACTTATATAATAAATACTACACATTGTTTTCAAAGCTGCTCAGCTTTTCTTTGTTTCCTTGTTGGCTTTCTTTTGTTCTCTGCTCTGCGCTTTTCACTTTATTTTTCCCTCCCTCCTACATAGTTTTATTTATATAAGAAATTTTTAATTTAAAGTAATCAACATTATCCATTTTACACTTCAACAGTGCTCTCACCTTATAATATATTTTAAAGTCTGATATTGCTGAGTCTACTTCCTTTACATCTTTTTTTCCTGTTTTTTTTTAAGTTCCTGACTTTTTGTTATTCCAAATGAACTTTTTTATTAATTTTTCTAACTCAGTAAAATATTTTTTTAGTAATTTAATTGGGATGACATTGAATAAATAGATTAGTTAAGTAAAATTATCATTTTAAAAATCATATTAGCTTTACCTACCCGTGAACAATAAATATTACTTCAGTTATTTAGATCTGAGTCTATTTGTATAAAAAGTGTTTATGTTCATATAGTTCCTGTGTCTGTTTTGATAGGTATCCGCTCAGGTATTTTATACTGTCTAGTTATTTTAAATGGTCTAAGACCTTTGTTTTAAAAGTGATGAATATTGATACGTGTTTCTTGGTTTGTAGTAAATAATGACATATATTACATATATATATATTCAGGTTAGTAAGTATTATTAACAGAAGGCTTAATGCTAAGAGCTGGGTATACGAAGATAAGCTACAACAAAACACTTGTTCTCAAGTTTATAATGGGATGTGGTGGTATGTATATGTGTGTGTGGTGGGAGTAGGGGAAGGCATGGAAGGAGATTTGCAAATAACTGTGACACAAAACAAAGTAAGCTAATAGCAAAGGGGAAAGACAGACTAAGACCTATGAAAAACTTGAGAATGGAGAGGACACCTTCTCCTCGGGGAGTGGCTTACATAAGCCATTATAGGTGTTGTGCTGCCTGAATTAGATCTAACAGTTAGGAAAGGACCTCAGTAAGGGGGTATGGGAAGAGTTCATTTCAAGTACTGGAGAAAGAATGAGTCCCAGCAACAGGCAGAATGAGAATGAGGTACTTGTTTGATTGAACATCGTTCCAGACTGGGCCTGACTTAGACTAGTCTGGTGATTCAGGTTTGGGATTAGAATGAAATGAGATACTCATAGACCATCTAACAATTAAGAGAAGGAAATTTACTTAGCAACTTAGCAATAGCATAGAAAAGATATTCAGTAAAGATATAGCATTAATTCAGGTGGGTGAAACTTCATGCCTTCATATTTACCTTGATGGCATGCTAGTCAAAAGAGATGTTAAGGCTGAGGGAGGAGTATCTGAGTGCATACGTACTTTTGTAGTTAGGTGACTGGAAGCTACATTAGTGGTTTGAATCTAAGACAAATGAACCAATATCTTGAGGACAGTTTTAATACCTTTTAAGGAAAAAACTAATCTAACTTAAGTGGGATAGGTGTTGCTCCTGTTACGCCAGTTAGTTTGCCTACTTTCTCTCTCTGTAAAATCTTTATGAGAGTAATTTACACACATATCAAGGGTATGCTTGATGGAAATTTGAGAATGGAATAAAAAGGCTCCAGCAGATGACTCTGAAGCAGAGCACACATTTGTAGTCATACAGTTGACCTTCTGGGGCAAAGAATACAAGATCCTATTATGTTTATTGTTTATTGATAATAAAAAGTAGATAATATTTGTTTCAATTATATATCATTATTGTATCAATAATGTTTATTGATAGTAAAAGTAGAGCTCACTCTTTAAGTTCTGCTGAAATAAGTTATACCTGTGCTAGGAAAAATGCTTGGCCCATGATAGGTGCTTAATACTTATTGATTGGTTACAAGATTGCAACATAGATAATTTTGTTTACTGACTGATTATTAATATCAAATTTAACATAAAACAGGGATACATAAGCTTGCTAAAGATATTTGCCACTGTTATGAAGAATATCTAGCTGTCAGTTCAGTTGAAAGAGGGAGTTCTTTTAGTTAGATGGTGAGGTTCTCCTGATACTTTTCTTTGTGAATAACACTGTCTTAATTGCTTCAATGCATGCAGTAATACATTTTCCTTAGTGAGGTCTATAATTGCTCAAGAGTTGGAATTAATCTACACATAAAAAATTTGCCTACCAATCAGGCTGTGTAATTTATTTTGATATAACTACTCAACAGTTGAAATTAATCTACATATGAAAAAATTGACTGCAAATCAGACTATGTAATTTATTTTGATGAATAGCCTATTGAATTGGTCTGTTTGTATATCTTTCAGACACTACAGATCAACAGAATTGAATAAGAGGAAGAGTGTGGACTAGATTACTTTTGGGAAACTGTACAGTAATTTTAGTGACCTCAAGCTTTTCCTCTGAACAAAAACTTGTCTTTTCAGTGCCCATCTTCTTGTGATGCTATTTCTCTAATTAACTCACTTTCCCTCACCACAGTATTTCTTCCAAACCTTTTCATTCCTTCTCAAACCTTCCCATCTCACTCAGTGGAGAACCTTGCTTCATATTATACTGAAACAAATTGAGACCATTTGCCAGAAGTTTTTTTGTTGTCCCCTTCCCTTCATCTCACATTACCCAGATAACTTTTGCCACTATCTCTTTCTTCACCCCTATCTCATATAATGAGATGGCCTTTTTCCTTGCCAAGACAGACCCTTGTGCTTGCTCAAGAGATCTCATTCCATCTGCTCTTCTCCAACAGATTTTCCCCTAGATCCCATTCTCTCACTTATCTTCAGACTTTCGTTGTCTGCTGGCTGCTTCCTTACTGCCTACAAACTTTCTCATGTCTCCCCATCCTCAAAAAACTGTCACTCAGTCCATCTATCCCCGCCAACTATCATCCCATATCTCTGCTTCATTTTGTGGATAAACTCCTAGAGAAGGATTTCTACAATAGGCAAGTGCACTTCATCTCCTTTCACTCACTTCTTAACTCTCTGTAGTTTGGCTTCTGACCTCATCATTCAACTGAAATTGCTCTCTCCAAAGTTACTAAAGATCTCTTAATTGCCAAATCTAATGCCTTTTCTCAATCCTGTCCTCCAGGACTTCTCTGCAGCCTTTGACACTATTGATCATCTTTGTCTAGATTTACTCTCTTCTCTTTAGATTTTTGAGGCACTGCATTCTCCTCCTATAACTCTGATCACTCCTTCTCAGTCTCTGTTCCACAGGGCTCTGGCCTGGGCTTTCTTCTCTTTTTCCTCTATACTATTTTAGTTGATGATTTTATGTGCTGCTGGATTCATTTATCATCTTTATGATGATGATTCTCAGTGTTACTAATCTAGCCCTTACCTGTCGGCTGACTTCCAGTCTTTTTTGTTTTAATGCTTTTTGGTGAGGCAGTTGGGGTTCAGTGACTTGCCCAGAATCACAGAGCTAGTAAGTGTCAAGTATCTGAGGCTGGATTTGAAACTCTTGACTCCAAGGCCAGAGCACTATCCACTGAGCCATCTAGCTGCCCCTTCTTCCAATCTTGCGTCTCCAACTAGCTAGTGGACATCTTGAATTGGACGTTTTATTGACATATTCAGCTTTCTCTTTACCCTAGTTTTGTATGTCCAGCTGTTTATTGGACATCTTGAACTGGAAATCCTTAGATATCTCAAACTCAATATGTCTGAGACTGAACTCATTATTCCCACCCACCCACCCACCTCAAACTTGCCCTTCTTCCTGACTTTCCTTTTATTGTTTAGGGTACCACCATCATTCTTATCATGCAGTCTTGAAGCCTGGGTGTTATCCTGAAATCCTTACTGACTCTCACCCCCTATAACCAGTCTGTTGCCAAAGAACTGTAGATTTTACCTTTATAACATCTCTCAAATATGCCCCTTCTCTCCTCCAACACTGCCACCACCCTGGATGGAGACCCTCAACTCACACTTGCTGGTTGTTCTGCCTGCCACAAATATCTCTCTGCTCCAGTCCATCGTCTGCTCAGCTGTCAAAGTGATCTTCCAAAAAGACAGTTTTCACCATCTAAGTTCCTCCGCCCCTTCAGTAAAATCCTGCATCTCCCCGTCAACTTTAGGATCAAATATAAAATTCTTTTTGGTGTTTAAAATTTTTTGTAACTGCTGTCCTGCTCCCTACCCCACCCCAAATTCTCATATCATTTTACACTTTCTACCCCCCCCCCCCACACACTCTGTGGCCAGTGACACTGACCTCCTTACTGTTTCTCAAACAAGAAACATAATTTCCTGACTCCAGATGTTTTCTTTGGCTATCCCTCCTGCCTGGAATTCTCTCCCTCCT